ATATCTTGGGGGGGTGGGTAATGACAGATGATCGATCAAAATCAAAGCAGTTGAAAATACCTTACAGATACATTTGAGCCCAACTAAAACTGAGGCTCACTGGCCAAACATGTGAAGGAAATTCAAAGCCAAAGGACCAGAGTTCAGATCTCAGCTCTGGTACTTACTCCATTGACCTTGGGAACGCCACTGGTTCTTAAGTTTCCTCCTCTATAAAGCAAGGATACAGGGCCAGGTGACTTGCAGGACACTTCCTCACTCTCAAGAGAATCAAATGCAGGGATTGGCCACCTGCTTTCCAAGGGCTGATTTTTGGTTTTGTCTCCTCTTAGACTTTCCAATGGCCTATAATGCCTCAGAAAACATCTGAACTACCTCAATTTCTCCAAAAGTGTTATTGGCAATCTTGTCTCCAGCTTGGGCCTCAGTTTCTAGTTCTGTTCTCAAACTCTGCTTTGCTTTGTTTTGTTTTCTAGAAGTTGATGCCCAGAAGCACATAAAGGGAATTTCTGTGTCAGTTTCTGGTCCAGAAGGTAGATGAAGGGATTAAAGTTCCCTTCTCCCCCACTCTCTATAATCATTCAGCCTACTCCCAGGAAGGCAGCTGGGAACTACAAAGAAGGAGGCCCGCCCAGAGCTGCCATAAATAAAGGATTCTGACCCTTGCCGGACCTCCCTGGGATCAAGCACATTCTACGGGGTGAGGGAAAACCTTCTCCCTGGTGCTCTAGTGATCTTCTGGGACTGACGTCACTGATTCTGAATGAAGCGAAAACTTATCAGCAGGAAGTTCAGACTGTCCTGACCCCAGCGACCCAGGTATGCTCTGACTCACTTCTAAGAGGCAAACTGGATTGGTGAAACAGTGATGACCTCAGGAGTCAGGAGAGACTGGGTTCAAATCCTGACTCAGATCAGACACTAACTGTGTGACCCTGGGCAAGTCACTGAGCCTTTCTAAGCCTCAGTTTCCTCATCTGTAAAATGAAGTTATTAATAATAATGCTACTCACAGGGTTGCTGTGAGGCTCAAATACTATCACAATGTGACCTTGGGTAAGTCATGAAATCCTTGTGGGCTTCAATTTTGTCATCTGTAAAATTAGGACTAGACTAGCTGTTTCTAAGGTCCCTTCAAACTCTAGATGTACAATTCTATGTAAAGTGCTTGGCAAGACTTAACATGTGTGTGTGTGTGTGTGTGTGTGTGTGTGTGTGAGCGTGCGCGTGTGATAGAGTTCCCTCTCTCCCCCCAAGCCCCTCTGGTCCTTTGGTGAAGGCAACCTAATCCTTCTCAGAACAATATTTTTAGAGGCACACAGGATAGCAGAGGAGACCAATTATACTGAAACTAGAAAAGGATGGAAAGGAATAAGTATTTATGTAGTGCTTACTATGTGCCAGGCACTGAGCTAAGTGCTTTCAAGATAATAATAAAATAAAAAAGTTAATAGACCCATGTTAACAATTTCTGCCTGGTTTAAACACCAGCTTCATTCTTTTCATCTCACACAGTTAGAATTATTTTTATTAACCTTACTCTTCTCAAATCTTTTTTCAGTGCAGTTCAGATGGAAATGGGACTGAGACAAGTTGCTATCTGTCTCTTCTTTTACATGTAATGATCTGCAAAGTGGCTAAAGGGCTGCCTTTTGTGTTTTCATCAATGTGTTGGCATCTCAGCTCATCCTCTGGGGGCTCAGCATAGGACAGCTCAAAAATCAGAGAGGATGAGCTGCATGGCCCATACCTAGCTCTCTCGACACATGGTTTTAACATCTTCTGTTAAGGCTGTACCTTGTGAAAGTCTTCATTCCATGTCCCTTGGAGATCGTATTTGGCATGACCTCTCTTAAAAGTGGTCTCACTTTTATATGAGCCAATGTTCTTATGATTGTTATTAGTTATTACTCCCATTGCTGATGATCGTGACCCTGACCACAACCTTTAGTCAGCTACTGCCATGCCTGCCCTGGCATATCCAATTCCAAAGAAGCTGGGATGAATGGATTAAAAAAGAAACAGGATCAGACCTATAGGCCCACAATGGCGGCTAGGCATTCATTTTAGGAGGAAGATAGTAAGCCCAAATACACATGATGGACTTCTTCTTGCAGGACAAAACTCACTCCTGTCCTCCCCACCCCACAATACCAACTCCCTGTCCATTCTGATTTTTTTACCAATGTTCACTTTAAGATTTTGAACCAGTCCCTCCCCACCTCCACCAGCAATGCCAGTCTAAATAAATAACAACCTCAGATCTGTGATAATGTGAAATGACACACCATTCAAGCCAAGCCCAGATCTGGTCTGGCTCACTGGAACTCCATGACCCATCCCATTAAATTTGGTTAAATGGAACTAGGGGAGCAACAATACCCTTGGAATAAGCTCAGAAAATACTAGATTATTGGAGAATATGAGTGTGAAGGGACAGGAGAGAGCCAAGCAAGAGGAAAATTTAGACTTGGTGTCAAGGGAAGCTTCTGAGCCATTGGTTACCCCAACATGGCACGGACTGCTCCAGACATAGTGGGTATCATTCCTTGCAGGTGTCCAAGAAGAGGCTAGATATGCACTTGGCATGTGTGGCAAACAGGGGATTCTTCTGGGAATGGGGGCTTGGAGAGAACAAGGGTTCTTAACCTGTTCATGTCATTGAATCCTTTGGGAGTCTACTTACTGAACTCTGGACTCTTTCTCAGAATTCTGTTTGAGGACCACAGCTTAACCATGCCTAGACTGGCTGCTCACTAAGGTCCCTTCCAATTTGATCATTCTATGATTACTTGGTCAAATAATTAAATGATATTTTATTTACTTATGTTAAGAAGTTCTATCCTCGAGGGCAAGGGTATTTGTGGGGGGTTATTTCTTGTCTGTGTGTCCCCAGTATCTAGCACAGACACATGATCAGTGTTCAATGGACGGGACTAAAGGGTCTCATTTTATAATTCATTTTATAATTCATATCATCACAGGTTGAGAACTGGGAGGGACCCTAGATGTCACTGAGTCCAGTCTCATTTTACAGATAAGGAAAACTTAGGCTAAGGTGCCATAGGTAATAACTGGCAGGACCAGAATTTGCACTCAGGTCCTCAGACTCCTACCCCACTCTTCCTTTCCGCTGTGCCCCATGACTCCACTGGAAGCCTTGGGATCCAAACCAAGTCACTCTCCTTTCAACATCTATGGAATTTCAGATGAATGAACTCTTACTATCTTCTACCCCAGACTGGCTCCTTCAAACACCATCTTTCCTCCTGTCCCCTTTCCCTTCCCATCCAGCTGAAGGCACCTGTCCTGGGGGTTGCCAGAAGCAATCTGAAACTCCTAGCTCTGTTTTAAAAAATAAGTTCCTGGATCTCACTTTCCCAGCAAATCACACAGGTGACCATTCTAGGGCACTAGGGAAACAGGCTGGGCCATGAAGTCACATGCCAAGGAGCACATGACTGGATTGCTGGTATCAGAGAAAGGATTTGAACTCAGAACCCCAAGAAGCCAGTGTGGAAGCAGCCCAGGCCAACACATCCAGGTCACTAACAAAGCTCCCAGGAGAGGGGATAGCCCTGACTTAATAACCAATTAATCTGATAAGTAGCACTTAAGAAGACAAAGGTGGATTTGGAAAAATAAAAACCATGCACGGCACAAGTTTCTAATTACGCTGGTCTGATCCAGGCACCGGGCCTGGCACACAGTAGGAATTTAACAAACATCTGCTGAATTACAAGGCCAGAAATCACCCAGCTGGTGGTTGAGGTCTCTTCCTTTGGGATCAGTAACCAAGCCGACGGTGCTTGGCGTTAGCCACAAAGGTACACCTAAGCCCTTGCTTGCCCTCAGGTCTCAGACATGGCCATGTACAAGTGAAAACACACAACAATCCCTGTAAAATGATCCGAGCTCTCCCAAGGCTGAGAAGACAGGGCTAACTTTGGGTTCCAAGGCCTGTAACATAAGCTAGCCACAGCTGGCCTGGTTCCTTCTTAACTCGAGGCCTCCCGGGGATGTTTGCAGGGTGGGAGCAAGGTGGAACTGGGGCTGGAGAATGGGGGGGGGGGGGCGGCATATTCCCAAGAGCTGGGAACATTGTTTTTTTGTATCCTGCCTCATCAGCTTCTTCCTTCACATACCCCTCTCCCCCCACCCCCGCCCCAACTCACACTCCCGCTACTTCAATGGAATCCAATTTAATTCAACCAAAGAGACATTAGATGCCTCCAAAGTCCCTTCTCAGCATCCCTTAAGCACCCACTGTGTGCTAGGAAACCTGCCAGGCAATGAGGCCACCAGGACAAAAATCAAAGGGTCCCTCTGCCTTGAAAGCGTTTAAACTGTGGGTGAAGACCTTGGTGCCAACCCCTGAAAATAAAAATGATCATTATCATTATCTAGAAGCTCACTTGGGTGGGGACGTGACGGGAGAGTACCCGGCTTAAAATGGAGCGCTGCTTTTTGCTAGCAAGCGCAGGGAAAGACATCAAGCAGCCGCCCTGGGGAAACAATTGTTTAGGAAAAAAAACAGAGAAACTTCCGAAGCCACCGCGGACATCCTGGTGTAAATCTGCCCGGTGGCCTACGAGGAAGCCGCAGGCCATCAACGTGGCTGTAAATTACATGCTGGGCCCCAGACCCCGGCTGCTCTGGCTCCAGGATGCCCCAGCCCAGGCTGCCTCCAAGGCCACCCTCGTCCTAATCTAGCCCGGGCGCCAGGGATGCGGAAACCCGCAGCAAAACCGGAGGACAAGGGGGTGTCGGAAGGCGGGGAGAGAAGGCCGAGGCAGCCCCAGGCAGGAGCTCTCCAAAGAGATGCCAAGGTGGGGCGGGCTGCCCGGAAGCCAGCCAGGAGGCTGCGGGCGAGGAAAGGAGGCTTCCAGGAGGCAGCCGGCGCGGGCTGGGGTGGGATGGGGCGGGCTGGGGGCATAGATGGGAGGCCGCGCCGGGCAGCGGGCGGCGGCAGGTGCCCGTGCCCGGGGCTGCTCACTCACCGTGTAGAGCAGATTGAGGGCGCACAGGCAGCTCCTGGAGCAGGCGAAGCCGCCACACACCATGTTGGGGGGCGGGCAGATAGCGAGGCCAGGGGCGAGCGCTGAGGGCCGGCCGGGCAGCCCCCGGACACGGGCACGGGCAGCCGCGCCCCCTCCTCCGCCCTCCCGGGCTGGGCTCTAGGACGCGGGGGCCGAGCAGCGGCAGTCCGCCGGTCCGTCGGTCAGTCCGTCCGTCTGCCCGTCGCAGGCTGCAGCGCACGGTCACCCCCAGCCCACACCTCGGCCTCCCGCAGCGCAGCCCAGCCTTGCCCAGCCTGCCTAGTCCGCTCCGGCCCCGCTCCCTGGGCTCTAGCAGCCGCCGCCGCCGCCGCCGCCGCCGCCGCCGCCGCCGTGTCCGAGGCCCCGCCCCGGCCGGGCCGCGAGCGCTGATTGGTCTCTGCACGGGAACAAAGGTAAGATATGCAAATATATGCACTGCCGCTGGGGAAGGGAGAAGGAGCGGGTGGGGCGCTGGCGGGAGCGGGGGCGGGGGAGGCGGGCACCTCGTTTGCAGGTGGAGGGGGCGGGGCGGCAAGAGCCCAAAGCCCTGATCCCTGTTGGAGTCCCAGGACCCACTGAACCCCTTACCTGCCCGCTATGGGGTCACAGATGAATCGCTCGCCTCTCTGGGCCTCAGTTTCCTCCTTTTGTCAAATAAGGGAGGTGGACTAGGCTGCCCCTCAGGTCCCTCTCTGTTCTAGAGCCGCAATCCCGCCATTGTTTAAATGTAGGCTCTGATTACTGGACCACCTGCCTCAGTCCTCGGCATACTAGGGATGGAGGAATGGGGGGTGGGCACAGCAGGTTGCCAGAACAGACCGAGAGCAAGGATGGCCTGGCACTGAGAAGAATGAGAAGCTTCCCTGGGAGGTAGATCTTCCAGGTGGAATTACCCTCGGTTTACGGATGAGGAAACTGAGGCCCAGAGCGGTGAAGTTAATCCCAGGGCCCTACAACTAGCGTCAGACAATGACCCAGGCTTTTAGCCCACTTTCCACCGTACCCAGATTCTCTCCTGGAAGGAAGAGTAGAGATTTCTAGCACCTTGGCCTCAAGATCTTAAATTTAATTAGTGTACTTTATGCAAATTAGAGAAGAGGCAAAGACCTAGAAAACCACGTGCCTTTCCTGAGAGTTTTGCTGATGTAATCGCCATTTCTCTGAAGAGATTCTAGTGGAGTCTGAAGGGGCAAGTCCCTGAGAGTTGCTGGGCGAATCTGACACCAAGAATGCTTTTGAGAGCCATTTCTAACTTGGTCGTCGGTTCCTGTATTGATTGCGTCAGTTCTGGGACTTTGTGGGCAGATGCAGATGGTGGCAGCCTCCCTGAAGCTCAGCGGATCATGCACTCCCGGTACTGGGGGCGGAGGCGAGGAAGACGTCCCCTGATGGCCTACCTTTGGGAGAGGTGGTGCTGCCAACCGAGCACCTGAGGCGGCCTTCTCAGAGTCTCTGGGCCTGACAGAGCTTGGACTGCTAGGGGCCAAGGAGAGCATCCCGAGGACCTCGGTGGAGAAGCAAGAAGAATCTTACGAATTATCCATGTTTATGAGCAAAAGCACTGTCCTCACAACAGCACTGTGAAGCCAGTACGGGGAGTATTTCGATCTCCGAGCACAGATGAAGAAACAGGCTTAGTGAAAGAAGTGACGAGACGCCCAGGGCAAGAAAGCTACCAAATATTAGAGTCTAGCTTCCAAGCCAGGGATTGGGGCTTCAAGGTCAGGGCCCCTGCGCCCTAAACTGCGAGGCCAGACACGCTGTCTAATTGGTGATTCTGAGCGCAGGCTGTGTCGCTTCTGATTAAGTATGAGAGCAATTGAAAATTGTTTCTTTTAGCACTGAAAACGTGTTGACTTGCTTACTCGGTGGAGCGAATGGCCCAGTGCAAGCCCGTGATAAATGGTGGTTGAGGGATTCGAATTTAATAGTGCAACGCTTCCCAACTCTGGGGGTACAGCGCCCTCCCCCCCCCCCCAGCGCGGAGAGATGAGGTAGGGATGTACGGGGTGGCGCGGAGCATTGACTGATGTAGTGTTTGGTTAGTTTTGCTGAACTTTTTGTTCTTTTTTCTTTGTTAGAGTAGATTTACGGTTTCATGTGTAATCATCTCTTTTATTGTAATATGTTGTGGAAATGCTTGTTTTGTCCCATAAATTTAAAATAAAACTTAATAATAGAGAATATGACGACTAAATGACTAAGAGCTAAGTAAGGGCAGGCTCGATTTCTTTTTGAATTTAAATTCTCTAAAACCAAAAATATCAGTACAAAGGAAAACCACGAGGAATGATCCTCAGGGGCCGCCAGTGGCTCAGTTAGTTTTCGTTTTCTTGCCCTGTATCTTCTCTTCTGCCCCCTCTCTTGCCAACACACACAATTCAGCAAGATTCCCCCTGACAAATCCTGTGTTCGTCGCAATACCAAATCGATAAGTGAAAGGGCTCGCAATTCATTGGGGGGAGCTGCCTCCCAGAGCCCACCGCTCTTTGGATGAAACCAGCAAGTGCCTTTTGTTTTCTTCTCAAAATCGTTGTCTCTGCCCACAGGTTTCTCCCGTGTTTCCTGTGAATTTTCCCCTTCATTGTTTTCCTCCTCCCCCGGTCCGCATGCCCTGCTCCCTTCCTGACTCACACCTCCTTTTTGCCTCACTGCCATTCCTTCATTTATCTTTATCCTGTTAAGTTTTCATTTTCGATGGTTCTAGTTTTCTTTCTATCTTGGGCACATGGAATCAAGTGTCTATATATGATTCACATTTGAGTAAAATACTGGCGCTATGGGTCTCCCCTACTCAAAAATCCTCAGTGGCTGCCTCTTGCTTCTAGGACAACAATAATGACAACAGCAAGTTTTTGTGAAGCATCTACTGTGTGCCAGGCACTATCTGGTGACACTAAGACTACTGAGACAAAGGCTAACCCTGCCCTCAGGGAGCTTACAGTCCTCAAGCAGGCATTTAAGAGCCTTCACAATCTGGATTCACACACACACACACACACACACACACACACACACACATACACACACACAGGCACCTTTCCAGCTATATTTCATATTTTCCTCATTCCTTGTGTCAAATTTGCCTGCTAATTGTTCCCTGTCCACAATTCCATCTCTAATCTCCACATAGCTGTAAAGTGCTCCCCAGGTCAGGAAAACATGACCTCCTCCCTCACATTTTAGGGAATAGCTTCCTACCAAACACAACTGAGGTGTCTCCTCTTTCCTGAACCCCAGAGTTGGCATTATGCCCTTTTAAAAATGACTTCATGTTATTCTGTGTGTACTTTCCATTTTTTCAGCTGTTTCCATGTTGCATATCCCAGTTGAATGTAAACTCCTAGACCGTAGGGGCTTCATTTTGTCTTTGTTTTCTCATATAGTTTCTCACACTGCCTGGCATATACTTGGCAAGAACTTAATAAATGTTGCTGAGTTGAATTAAGTTGATTTGGTATATAATGAGTCATTGAAACTAGCATCTGTCCTATTGTCCTAGCCAGGTTGAAGAGGATTGGACTTATGGCGAACAGAGAATACCAGCGAGGCATTAAAAATCCAATACCTTGTTTGTTCTGTTTAAAATAGCTTTATTGCTTTTAACATTGACTGTGGCCTTGCTTAAGTCAAAATGATTTCTATTAAAACATAACCAAGGGTTGGGGTTTCTGGGTTGGATTTTTTTTGGGGGGGGGATGAGCTGTGTCTTGTTTCTTTGCTCCTCCTCCGTTGTCATGGCAAACAAAGAAAGGAGCCTTGAAAACTTGGCTTTGTGATGGTCTGTGTGAGGCCTTTCTGCAGTTGGGGAAAGCAGGATAGAGGCAGTATGAGGCCAACAATGAGACAAAAATGCTGAATTGCCTCAGGCTGGTTCTCTTCCCAGCAGCCCCCCTTGGTCTGTTTTCTCTGGGTCCCACCCCCCCCTTTTTGTGCCAGCACCTTCTGCAATCAAATGCTGGGCATGTCTTCCCTCACATTAGCCCTCCCCCATTGCAATCATGGTGATGTTCAGTTGGTTTAGAAGGGACTTGGGGCCACTTAATCTAATAGAGTTTGAGTCACAAGGTTATTACGGAGTGACTGCTGCCTCATGGCTACAAATTAGGCTGGAAGATGTTGCTTTTACCCAGCTGTGTGTCATTGAATTTCCCTTTTGATACCACAGGGCTGCTCTGAGACAGACATGTCAATGGGTGCTAAGCTCAGGCAGGCAGCCTGGCATTTAAGAAATAAGCTGGCACTTTGAACGATCCTGAGCTGCTCCTAGAAAGAAAAGCCTTGCTTTCCCCCAAGGCTCTGGGGCTGCCAATCTTTGTACACCAAGACCTCTGAAGGAACCAGATCGCTGGTGATCCACATCACAGTGGGGAGGGGTATGTGCCAGGTGTGATTAAGAGCATGTTCTCACCAGTCACTAGCATTCGAGAAGTGCCAGGAGAGGCCATCCTGGTGAAGGGAGATGGAACAGCCAGGGAAGGAAAGTGAGGGATGAAGCCAAGCCAACCTCTGTAATGGTTCTCAAGGAATGGCAAAGACAAGATGTGTGTGTGTGTGTGTGTGTGTGTGTGTGTGTGTGTGTGTGCGCGCGCGCGCGCGGGTGGGCTGTGCTTTTCTGAATGAGGTGAGGGTGGCTGTGATCTATACGAGGAAGGATCCAGGTTAATGGACTTGGGGCTAGAAGAAGAAGGGTACAGAACAGTGAAACCAACAGAACTAAACCAAATAATATCAACCGACATTGTAAAAATGGTGCTTTAAGGTCTACAAAGCACTGTGTAGTTATTCTCACATGTGAGCTTCCCAAGGACCCTGTGAGGCAGGTTCCACAGGTGTGTTTCTCACGGCATAAAACAACCACAAATTGGAAAATCCAAGATGCATCTTCAAAGGAAAGCTCTGAATATTTCTAGCACTCAAACAATTTCAGTTTTTGCAGCAATATTATATGTATACAGACATATATATGTATGTGTATGTATGTATATATATATCCTCAATTATATGATTCATATCTTAGCACCAGGACTATAAGTGCATTTTCTTCATACATGGTATATATCACTCCCAATGTGGAAACTCCCTCCGATGTGGCAGATCCCCAACTCTCTGGAATTTACTTACAGAATGAATGGCTTGGGGTATTGAAAGGTTCACAGATGCCCAAGGTCACATACCCAGTATGTGTCAGAGGCTGAAATTGAACCCCAGGTCTTCACAACTCCACCTCTTCCTATGTAATCATATTAACACCAATCATTGCTTCTTGAAGGGGCTGGACAATTCATACTGCTCTAGGGCTCCACTTACCTTCTCTCTCCAATTTATCA